AATAATAAATATATTTAAATAATGTTTAATTATTAAATTAAATTTAAAATTTAATAAATTATATTTAAATAATGATAAATGATAATAAAATAATAAAAAATGAAATATAAAATAATACTAACTCCTGTAATTAAACCACTGTGGGGAAACACTGGTCCTGATTTCATCATACATTCTTTTGTTACCCAAACTTTATTGCTTGTTGTTTTTATGTTTTATTACTGCAGTACCAGTCACCCTTTTATGACAAGCACTGCTCAGAACAGAGAAAAAAAGCTCCTGTCTTTAGCATTTACATCTCCATTAAAATTACACAAATTTGCAATATGGAATCTCAGTCAGAAGTAGGTAATTAACTTCCAACTAGAAAGATATTTGTAATGAGTAGGACTTTAAGCCTTTCAGGTAAGAGATTATCCTCAATTTGTTTTACAAGTCTGCGCAATGACTAAATAATGTTATAAATTACTATGCTCTTCCCTTGTCTTGTACTATGTTCTCTTGTAATATGCTGATCTCTTGTAAATAACTGGTACTCAGTACTGCTGTCTCATAGTTCAGGGGAAAAACAGCATTTTTTTTTCAGACAGAAAAAAAAGGTCAATGATATAGTTTAACAAAACTATTAATAAAACCTTTCAAATTGTTTTGCAACAATAGTTCATCATAAAACAGAGGTTTAATTTAGCACCAACACTGATCCTTCTGAAGTGAAATTACTTACCATTTATAGGTACAGGAATAGACCCTACACTTGAAGCAGAAGCTATAATACGGAGCAACAGCTGAGACATTCTGCTTTTACCTACCAGCACTCATTATGTATTCTCTGAAGAAGGGACAGCTGAACCAGATGGGCATGATATGAAGATATGGAATAAGCCCAGGAAATAAATTTTTGAAACTTGGACCGGTGCAAAAGTTTCCAAAGGCTCCAGCTACCAGGACCCCATGAGGGTGAAAGCCAAGTAGGTAGTTGTGATTTGGACTCAGATCTGAAGTTTTTATAAGCTGCAAAATAGAGACAGTGGACATTATAATGCTTACCTCAGAAGGATTCTCAAGTATGGAGACCACGTTGACAGGACACAGAACCGATGACAGTTCATTTCCTTCTGAGCTCTTTAAACTACTGTCCATTTTACAGCTGAACAAAGTTTCAATACATGTGTCTCAAGATATGTCTAGCATTCACTGTGCTGAGGCACTATCTTGTGATCCAATAGTCCAAACAGAAAATCAGCCCCTACCCCTTTTTATCACTAAATCTCCAGCTTCCTATGTTTTAACAAGAAGTTGAGTTCACCCTGGATTAAGTATTAGAATTTTACCAAAGATGAGTCTCAGACGTTTGTCTACGCTCATGACTATTCAATCTGTCTCTATTCCAATGCTTACAGTTCTGTGCAAAAACTTTGACTCACGTGAATGGGAAAGTATTCCCTAAAGTACTTCCAAAGAGTCCAGCTTCTGACCCACTGGGACCGTCTGCCCCCTGTGCATGGTGTTTCCCAGTCAAGGTAGAGCCACAGCAGGTACAGAACAGCGAGGAACCAGAAGTTGCCCAGGATCAGGATCACGAAGAATCCACAGCAAAACTCTGCTACAAGAGACAAAACAGGAAAGCATAGCAAGCATTAATCATGGCTGTCTCCTTTTAAGACCCTGAGTTCCCAGCCCTGATATGTTTATTATGGGTGCTACTCAAAATGCGTACAAATGGAAGTTAGCTTATTCCATATTGTGTGAATGTCATTACACTAAAGGTGAAACGCCTACCAGGGTGTATCAGCTCAGTCTGTATTTCTTACCCTACTGCATTACTGGATGAATAAGCCTAAGATGATGTTGGTTTACTTTAATAAAACAAAAGCATGAGCCGAGGACCAGCACAGTTGTTTTCTCCCCATAGTGAGAGTAAACAGTAATATTTGGTAGAGAGCATAAGGTTTACCTATGGCAGAATAAAAGGAGACAGCAAGAACTAACCGAGATGTGATGCTCCAGTGAACAAGAAAAAGGGAGGAGAGCTAGGGAAGGAAAGAAGGGAAAGGGGCCACAGCAAGATCTCTTTTCTAATGAGAGTGTTGTTGGGCAATCATTTTCCCTTTCTGTTTCTTAACTTCTCTACCTATAAAATAGGGATGGTAGTTTTACTCCCTGTGAAAAGTGCACTGTGACTGGCCAAGGAGATGCACTAGACAAGGCCAAAACATTAAGAGGTTCCACTTCAGCCTCCAAACACGTCACTGTAAGCAGAAGCTCACCATTGCTATGGGAAAACAACAGTAGTTTTAAGTCCTGACACTTTCAGACCCAGGTTAATAAAAATTGTAACATCCTACTACACTAACAATATATAGGAACTGTATTATACACAATTCAAAGAGCCAGAATAAGTTGTTTGATTAAACATAATGTGTCACTTTGAGGCTCAATCTTGAAATAATTATTCAGGGAAATTCCCTATGGAAACTTTATCTTTGTAGGACTTGCAGAATTTCGCACTCTTGCAGCAAGTCAAGCAGCTATGGATGGAGGTGGATGAAGCAAAGTACGGTGGTACCTGCTGCTCTCCACCCTGCAGCAGCCTGCTCGCTCTGACGTCTTGTGAACGAAATGCATCAGGCTCACGGATCAGAGTAATTCAGCAGATGCTGAATTTCAGGTTTGCAAGGGAGACAGGGCTATGTACATGTACATGTACAACTGTATTTGTACAATGACAAGCAAAACAGGACCCAGTTCTTACTGGAAGTCTCAACGGGCAGAGTTGTATGAAATAGGCATTTTTCCATGATGTTTTACAAATCAGAAGTAGTACTTTGTATGTCCTGCAATTGGCTGGCATTCATGACGGCAATATCCTGGTATGTCCTAAAAGGAGCTACACCACTGAAACATACTGAGCTAAATACATAAGTAAATAGAGTGGAGTTAAAAAAAAAAATAACAGAAGTACATCAGGCAATAATTTGGTTAACACAATGTAAATATTACCAGAACTGAAAACTTTGAAATAAAGCAGATGGACCAACAGTGAAAAACACTCATTCTAGTTAAGATCAGCTTCATTCAAGACAGAGATTACTTGGGCGTTGAAAACTCACAGCAGATTCTCTATACCAAGCAGGTTTCGTGCTGCTGAAATTCAGAGCTTTACTTGGCCTCCTGGCATTCTTGTGTTTCCTCCAGCCTGAATACTTATTTTTTCTGAACTTCAGTGAACTGGCCCTTGTGCCTAGTTTGACTGTGCCTTTAGAGTAGAAATGGATATATTGTCATGGGGTAACTCAGAACTACTGCAGAATCCAGCAGCAGATAGAGCAAGCAAAGCTGCTGGTTAGACTGCGTAGAAAAGAAAGGGATGAACATTCCCATTTCTGGCAGGGAAGGAGCAGAAAAATAAGGAATTGCATTTGCTCTGAGGAAGGGAGAGGGAACAACCATAAATTAAACCACAGGCAGGATCAAATCTACTGTTTTGAAGGATACTCCATTCTTCAGTACCATCAGTACAGAAGCTCATTGCTTCCTGCTTAAACAGGCAACCCTGGTCTTGCACAGAGAAGCACCTCAGTAACAGCTCTAGAAAAACAGAAACCTCCAAAGACAATGTGGAAAACTCTCAAAAGCTACAAGGAGTTCTAGGAAACATCATTAATACAGGTTGAGTAACACAGGTGAAAGATGAAACTCAGTTTCACCGCTCTGGAAGCGGAACTCACTGGGAATCCCACACCAGCAACACTTCAAAATAGGGTACAGAAATATTTTGAGGAAAACCCATTACCTGCTCTTTGAAGGAAGAGATCCTGAAACTACAGATATTTCTAGGAATGCTAATCTGGACAAGATGCCATGGTTCACGGTCTAAGTTTGAATGAGAAATTTTTTTAATTGCCACCAATCAATTCATTTCAAGTGGTTATGCAAAAATTGGTAATTGTATTTCCTACCCTTCCTTGCAGACGACTTTTGGCTCAGCGCAGAATCACATGGCTTTTTACTATCAGTTTCCGAGCCAAATAGCTGAAAGGTGCTTTGCATCAAAGCATCCTTGCTGTGAGAGCTAATTAAATCAGCAGCACTAAGTGCCAGATAGCACTATTTAATACCATGCAGACAAAATACACGAGACCAACAAGCTTACTGCTTTGCTTTAGCTAGAACACGTTCCTGCGTGCATATAAGGTATGGGGAGATAAGTATGCTGTCAGCACTTCCTAAGGGGAGCTCAGCATCTTGTACGACACAGCTAATTTATTATTGCGTTTGCAATGAGACACGCAAATTCCTTTTACCATACCTCCTCATTATTTCAATGCATCAACAGCCTGCACGATGAGTTAAACAGCGATGACTCAAAACCAATGAGCTTATAAACACAAAACCAGTGTTTTCTCCTCCAGAGAAGACAGTGAGTAAATAAATGGTAATCACTTTACCTAAATTCATAAACAAATTCCAGGCAAAAGGTGAGTAACTTGGAATTTGGCACTTTACTATATCTTTGCCTCCTTGGACGTAGTTCCAGACTACATTGTAAGCATAATTTTTTGCTTGAAATTAAATTAAAGCTTTGAAAATACCTCTGTGGTGCATTGGAACTCTAGGGAAAAAGGGAAACAATATGGATTAAAAGACAAACCACTGCCATGGGACTGTGAACATCCAGTTTGCCAGCCAACATTGGCGAGACTTTACATCTCTTTTCCTCAATTTCTCATGTGGATACTCATCGGCTGTAGGAAATGGATGAAAAATATTACATGTAGTGTTAGCAGCACTGGCAGCCATCCTGCTCGATGATGTTTGAACACCTGATGCTTCATTCATTAAATAGGCTCTAAGTTTGCAGCTGTGGGCACCAAATTCATAAAACAGTTAAATATCACACAGACAGGAAGTAGGAAACCAGCACATTGGGTAGGGAAATACAGGTGATCCCAGCAATTGGAAGCTCCAAATGCACTTGCAATTACTAAGGAGTCAAAAATGTTTGAGTAATATCTGTTGCAAGGGCCACCAAATCTAGGACTGTCCACCAGAAGAAAAGCCTCCCATTACTCTCAGAGCAGTCACGGAGCATGTCTGGCCAGTGCAGTCGTATCCTAGGTGGCCAGGTTGCTCACCCCAATCCAACCAGCACTACAGGCTCTCCGTAGTACCCCACAAAGCCACGCCAAGCAGCTCGCACTGAGACCACCGGACTGCTAGATGACTCAGAGAGATCTGAACTACGAGCCAGTTCCTGCCATTTCCCGGATGCCCTTAGCAAAGCTTCCTCTAAACACATTGTGCCGCTATGTCTTAAATGAGCTGGAGACTTTCAGAGTTCAGTGATATGAACTTCATCCCACAAAGGATGTGATAATTGTGCCAGCTTTATCCCACTAGCAGGTAGAGATGCTGGTTTCAATATTCATACTTCTCTGGGCTTTACGAGCACATGTGCATGCAAATACACAAAGCAAGCTGAAAAGCTCATTACTTACATCTGTGACCAGAGGGGAAAAAAAATGAAAGATGGCATATCCTTCAACAACCACTGCAGTGTACATACAACACAACAGTCCTTTCCGCACCTTCAGTCTTCAGAGCAGCAGTGCCTCTGAGCTGGGTGCCTGAGGAACAGCACACACTGGAGGAAATACACAAGGAGAATTGCATGGCGATGTTTCTATCCCTAATGAACATTTGCTCCTCTCTATTATCCCTCAAGGTACTACTGATAAGTTGATTTTGGCATTAAAAGAATATTTTCTCTGCTTAGTGGATCCTTTCATTTCAGGAAAAGAAAAAAAAAATAAAAATCAGCCTTCATTTCTGGAAATACTTTCTAAATCATTTATAACTGGTAAAGAAAGGGATAGAAATTCAAGTGAAATAACACATAGAGCAAATGAACTCCAACAGTCCCACAAAAGGAAGACATGAGACAACTAGCAACATCTGAGAGGAGGCAACCTGCCACGGCAACTAAGCAAGTTCACACCTCTGCAGAGTACTGCTCCGCAGCTTTGACGCAGACAGTCTCTGTTTTAAAAATGGAGTCATAATGTTAGTACTATCCTGTTCAGAACCCACAAGTCTGTGCAATTCTGCCAATATACAGATTTCTGCCAGGAGCACAGGAACTTGCTGCCACTTTTTAACCATGGCGGATATGGACTTTCCAGCAAAGAACAAGCTGGGAATTTATTTAAACTAACTGCACTGGAAAATTGTTGAAGTCCACAGGAATTTCGTAGCCATCTCCAGGACTGAGGTGGTAAGGAGGTGAGCATTTGTTGAATACGAATCAGTCTCCTGTAGTGAGGCTCCTTTGTCAGTTTATTGGTCACAACTGGGAGCCCTGGTCACAAGGATATTTGAGTATTCCCACCAAGGGAGCTGTATTTCAACACTACTACGATAACAGATACAAACCCTCAGATGTCAAGGTTTGGAAGCTGGTTTAAAGGTTTGTTTACTCTGGAATTTGGTTCCAGTTCCCAAGCAAGTGGACCTTCCATTGGTAAATACTGATAAACTAGAGATACAGAGCATTAGGCACTATTGACTTGTAGATAGAGTGGTCTGGATACAGTAAATCCTTGA